CTCTTTCCTTTGCTAAAATGAGAGATGCATCATTACTGCTAGTAAATTCGTCCAAGATCTTTATTTCTGTTCTGCAGCTGTGATGGCTAATGGGAGTTTTGTGTAGAGCAGCTCCTCGCTTCGCAGAAATCCCCATGCACTGAGCATTTCCTGATTTTCCCCTCCCTTTTTCTGCTTCCTAATTTAAGCAAAAATTAATCCCCTGAACTCAATTCTCCGAGTCTCATCCCATAAAAAGTAAGCACATTTCATGTATTAACTCGTATGTCTTCTTTTTTCTTTCCTGGTTACAAGTCTTGCTCTTGTTTTGTTGCCAAATAGGTACAAATTTAGAGTGGGTTTTGCAACCTCAGCAGAGGGCATGGGATGAGGGGTTGCTCTCCCCCTCGTGCCAGCTGGCAGGTCCACACTGTCTGGCCCCACCACCAGCCCATGGGGCATCTTTTGCAATTCTGGTGGGTCACTTGCTGTGGGCATCGATTTCAGCCTCTGCTCCATTGTCAGCTCTGGCTCCAAGTCCCCCTAACCTTTATACTTTGCACTACTAATTGCTCCATTCCTTGGCTGTGGGCTCAGTCTCGGGACACTCAGCACTGCCATTTATAGCACAGGGGAATGCAGCAATGGATAGAAAAGTGATGGGGGGTGGAAGCCAGGCAAGCCAATGGTCTGGGTTGGAAATCACTTAGTGCTTGGGAAATGGTGACTTGAGTCAGCATTGAAGGTAAAAGCAAGAGGGGAAACAGAACATAAAACAGAAAAATAAAGTGAGCCTGGATTTGGAGCTGTAAAGGCGCTGATGTGTGTGGAAAGAATCTCATTGACTGAGGTGTGATTCAAAGCCCAGTTAACTTGTCTCACTATTTAAATGCAAAGTGTAGCACTTTGATAGGAATATGGAGCAGCTCACACTGCCCAGCTCCAGCCAGGGGCAGGCACGGCGTGGCTTCCATGTGGATTAGCAGGTCCCAGTCTCCTCACCTGGCCTGGCCCTTCCAAACAACAGCATGAAGACTGGGCAGCCTTTGCTTTGCTGCTGCAGGCAGCAGTACCCTGCTGTGGTGTGTTCATCCCAAGCTAGATTAACACTTCCCTGGAGAGAGATCATTGCTTTCCTCCAGGATTGTGCAATGCTTTCAGCTTAAAGACATATCCAGAGCTAGAAAACAGCTACAGGCTTTTCCCATTGTTGTATTAATTTAGCAGAGTACCACAAACACCCTGCACATCATTAAAACTTTTGCTGAAGACTAGGTAAGGCAGTAGTAAAGCTGGTGTGCTTGTGCTGCTGCTGCTGCTGTTTCATGCATCCTACAGTGTGCCAGTGCCTCAGCACCGTCACAGGGAAGAGCTTCTGCCTAAGAGCTCATCTCTGACAGGTTCAAGCCATTCCCCTTGTCCCGTCCCTACAGGCCCTTGTCCAAAGCCTTCTCTCCAACTTTCTTGTCAGCTCCTTTAGGTATTGAAGGCTCATATCGCATTTTAACACTTGGGCTATTAAAATGTTGTTTGGATAAGGTCAAGGACCAGTATTTTTTGCCTTCTCTCACCTGCTTTTCATGGGGGCTTGGTGAATATGAAGAGCAAAGGGTGGGAAGTTACCTTTCTCACCCTTGTGTCATGATGATGTGGGGTCATCTGTGTAGGAATTGAGGTGAGAGGTACCAGAGAACCCTGAAGTAGTTAGTGGGCAGGAGAGCAGAGCTCCTGGCCTGGCAGAGGTTCCTCCTGCTGACGGCTCGTTGCAGCTGCTGGGCAGGGGCTGGGCTGTAGCATCTCTCCCTGTGGTGCTTCAGCACCGAGTCATCTTTTTCTGCTTCCAAAAATACAGGCCAATGACTGCAAAAGAGACTATGTGCAAGACTAATGCTTCTGTCTGCCTTATTGCTGCTGTCTGATGGGGACATCTGCTTGCCCACCTGCATGAGTCAGGGAGGGAGCTCGGGACTCATCCAACACATGCTGCCTGCCGGGTGCTTGGACAGGCCCTTGGCATGTTGGAACAGGGGAGAGCACACTCAAAAGCCACTGTGCCTCCTAGTTCCTTTGCTTTGCTGTGTCACCAAACCCAAAAATGCATCCACGAAATAGCTGTGGTCAGATGGGACCACGGGAGGTCCAAGCCCCCCGCTCAAAGCAGGGCTTCTAGTTTTGGGTATTGCTTCACCATGTCAGGGGTTTGCACTGAACAATTTATATTCCCAACCTGTTGAAGATAATACAGCAGCTACTCGGTGCTTACCTTACTCTGGCATTCAGACACACCCTGCTCTTTGCTGCAGGGATATGTCCCTACCTGCAATGAATGTGCAAAAGAAAAAAACCCCATTTCCCATTATTTTTTCCTCCTCCTCCTTTCTCTGTATCCTTTTTTTTTGCCACACAACTGCAAATCGACACATATGCTGGGAGACATCACGTCATTCCCTTGCAGACAAGCTGCAGAGGCGACAGGACCCCAGCGATGCACGAGGGGTGTGGGGATGAGCTGGTGAAACAGGGGCTTTGCAGACTGTCATCCTGGCAGATTCTAGATGAAGTTTTGCTGAGGGGAGAGGGAAAGTGAGAACAGACGGGGCGAGGAAAACAGGCACCCACGTGCTTGCTTTTAAGCAAGAGAAATGAACTTCGTTTCCTTAAACCCCATCCCTAGGATGTTTGTGTCCAGCTTGTGTCTTCCCCCCCCGTTGCCTCTGAATTTGGGGGTCACAGGTAAAACCAAGCGGAGGGTCAGAGCCCTCTATTTGTGTGTTGAGCATAGCCTCTGAGCTCATTTTCCAGTGTCACTTATGACCAGCCAAGCAAGGATGTGACATTAGATGTTAGGGCTGAGATACCTATGTTTCAAAATTGAAGCACAGTCTAGTTTATCAAATACCAATTGCTCACTGAGATGTTTAACCATGGTAACATAACCATGGGTAACTTCTGCCTTTTCCTGCTCTGTGAGCCTGGCATTGCAGTGTCCTGCAGCTACGGTTACCAGGGAATGGAAAAGGGCTGGAACAGAGAATTGCATAGCTAGGCTTTACCAGGTGCCTTTGTTCCCAAGGTAACTTATTCTTGCTGCCCACCCTATTTATTAATAACCCTCAGTCTTTCTGTGGATGTGTAAATTCCTACTGCTTTTCAGATTGTCCCCAGATAAACTTGGAGCAGGAATTGTTCTCCCTATAGAATATTAGTTGTGCAAGACTAAGCAAGGCTCCCATATGGGAGGCCGTGTGCCAGGAGCCCAAGTGACACAGTGCCTCTCACTGATACGCAACTGGGTTAAATCAGGACCCCCGAGGTCTCTGCAGCTATGAAAAGTCTTCATTTCATGACTGGAGAGAAGCAGCTTCCCATTTTTGCTGATGAATAACTTCAGTTTATTTTGGGTTTGTGCTCCTGTGCCAGGAGGTTTCATTTCAAGGGCTCTCAACTCACATTAAAATGGCAGCTCGAGCTACTTAAAATACTTTGGTCAGAGTCCATCAGCTTAAAATGGGTTGAGGTTTTCTGCCCCGGCATGAGCGGGAGGCATGGGAGGCTGCTCAGCAGCTGGCTCACAAGGTCAGAGCAGGAGGAGAGCAGCAGAGGGGGCACAAGGGCTGGCTCTGTGCTGTGTCCCTGCATGCAGAAGTGTTCAGGTACATGATGTAATGTGTGGGCAGTTTTACAATAGCTGGTTGTTCTTCAGCATGGATTTTTTGGCTTTCCCCTCCCACCATTCCCAAGTTGTGAATCTGTTTATTAGAGGGAAATGCTCTAAAACAACCACCTCCTGAATCGCCTTTCAAAAGGCTGGAATTAACTTCCTCTAATCTCTGAACCTCCATAACCCGTATTTTGGGCAGCGTTTTCAAGTAGCTTGGAGGCACGGAGGGCAATTAGTGTTTCCCATGCAGACCTACAACTTCTTCTACCTCCCTTTAGGCTGTTTCAGCCCCACATCCCGTACCCACTTGACATACACCAGTTCTCCTTTGCTGATGTGCTGGAGAGCCAGGGCTGCCCCGGGTCAGTGACCCAGCTTAGACTGTGACCTCTTCATCTCATTTGTCACGTAGTCCTGGTCTATTCCTGGCAAGCCCAGCTCCAAGGGATCTACTGAGCCTTTTCCTATGCTGCTAAAAAAAAGAAGGGGAGATGTGGGGAAAGGTGTGCACGTTGTAAATCTCTGCTCAGCCTGGTGCAGGACTGTCATTTTTGATAATTCCCTCTGTCCCAAGGAACTTTGAGACACATAGTCACAGCCAGTAATAGCAAATCCTCCGTTGTGCAATGGCTTTCACAATTTGCTCCAAGGATGTGAAATGAATTTTGCTTCCAGGGTTAATCTAAGCCTAAACTGGGGGGGTGTGGGGGGAGCGTGTGTAGAAGATGCCAGGGCTGCCTGAGTATGGTTCATCTCACAAGCTTCATTTTCACTTAGCACTGCATTTGAAGTGTGGTTGCAGCTTCGTTGCCAGCGTTGGGTGGTAGCTAGAAGATACTTGTGTCTCTGGCTGTGTGAATGGTCTAGTAAGTATGCGTGAATCACTCCTAATGAATAATTCAGCTGA